CACAGAATCGTAGTGGTTGGAAGGGACCTCAGAGATCATCGAGTCCAACCAAAAAAAAAAAAAAAAAAAAAAATCCACAAAAAACACAAACCAATTGCTGAATTGGAAAGTAATGACTACTTTTACATTAACATGTCCTACTATTTTTCAGCCATGTGTCCATGTGACAGCTTATTCCGTGTTAAAAAATATCCATACTACAGACAATCCTCTAGGATTCTACAATTTTATCTACTACGCATGCACAATATTACACTAAGCTTGGTTAACTGACTTTTTGGTCAGTTAGGGAAATACAGTCTTGTTAGCTATTACATCCTGTAAGCAATTCTAATGACTACATGCAATTAGTTTTGAGAACTTCTTGACTACATTTTTTTTAAATGCATGTTTCCCTCCTACTCTTTGTTATGGTAAACAACTTCTCACACAACATCTTGGGAAATCAATAGCCAACTACAGACATCTCCAAGAGGGTTTGCCTGCAATACACGTCTGAAGCCTTGAAGCAACTAACTCCTAGTTTCCTTGGCCACCAATTTCCTCCACTGTGACTGAGAAAGAGCTACTGCTCACTATCAGAAACCTTGTCCACTTCACAAAGAGAAGTTTTAAAAAATATTTCATTGTTTTTAATACTTTGCTTCGAAAAGATAAGACAAAAAAGTGTCCATCAACAAACATCAAGTTAAAAATTGTTAGACAAAAAAAAATAAAATCAGCTGTCTGGAATTCTCCTGGAAACAAGACTGCGAGTGTCTATCTGTTTTCAGATTGGACAAAGGAGTTGGTGAAATACAATTTATTAAAAATTGGATTGCAGAATTAACTTTCATATGGATGCAGCATCACCAGGAATTATTCTGACTTGCTGAACATCCTTTTCACATTCAGCTGGCACTATGTGAATTGACAGAATTCTGGTCTTGACCATTGGCCCACTACAGCTGGTGAGCCAGAGTTTCCACACATCTTAAGTTTTAAAGGACCTAACAATTGCTTACAAGGTGCATGTAAGCATATTTTTGGAGTTCAAGATTAGGTTAAGCTCCTTATCTTGCAAGCAATCAAAGTTGTTGTTATAAAGATGGGGCTTGGCTTGCTGTTGCTTTCTTTTTTTAAAAATAGGGAAGTAAAAGTCACACAACTCCAAGTAACATGAAGAAAGCCATTAAGACAAGAATATATACATTTTTTTAAGTGACAGATTTGTCACAAAGTGTCTCCTACTGTTCATTACTAGCTCTTGCGTTTAAATGACAATGTAAATTCTTTACATCATCATTACCAAACAAAAAATATTGTACTACACGAGAACACTGATGTTAAGAAGTCTGCTTGGACCAGTGAAACAGTTAAAAACTTCCTGTTTTAAAAGCTTGCTCTTTAAAAAAAACAATCCAGAGTCTTTTTGTGTATCTGTATTAACTTTTGCTGTCCTCCTATATTTTACACAGAATTAATCATATCTATTTCAACATATTATACAAAAATGCTGCCGTTTCATAAGTAATTCACTGGTAAGTATGTTATTACAAAAAGTATATTGTTGGTGTGTGCATATATACATATTAGTAAATATAATTAGGTAATATTATTATTATTATTACTTATTTTGAATACTTTTTTAATTTTCTAGATCAAATAAGTTAATAGCCTTATTTAGATCGATGAGTAGCTTAATTAATAAACCACTATGCAGCATTTGCAATGAAGTGAAAATTCTGCTCCGGATAACATAAAAGCACAGCTGAAATAAGAACACTAGAATAGTTTGCGCTCTTCCTTCCTGCCACAAAACCCACATATTGACTCAATTATTTCTGTTCTTTCTAATTTGTAACTACCTCTCTTAAACTGAAAGATGGGACTGACTTTCTAACTACACACATGCTTAAGCTTATTAAGCAAGAAATAGAATAGTTCGTGCATGCATTTACAGATGTGACCAAATTTCTCACTAGAAAAAAAATTTAACAAAGCCGTTCAATTTTAGTTCAGAACAAAAAGAACTGATTTTTTGTGCCACTCTGCTGCAGTTGTCTGTATTCATCAGAAAAATATAGCAACCCAAAAATCATAATGGCATATTTAATTTAAACAATTATCTCTTATAACTAGGGGAAAAAAATAATCAGCTTTTACTAAACAATATTAGTCCTAGCAATAAGAATTAATTGGAAATATATGATTATAAATAAAAGCAACATTAATAAATTGTAAACTTGCATGTATCTCAGTCTTGGGAGATTTTTAAGGTGCTGATGAAAAGTTATGGCACTAGATATATTTAAAATATTGCAGAAGCTGCCCTGAAACTTCCAATTGAGTGAATCACAGTTCTACAGCAAAAATATTCAAGCAAAAGAATTCAGCAAGTTGAAGTTCATTGTCTCAGTTTTTCATAGGTCTTAACCACAGCTTTGCATTCTGGTCAAAAAAAAAAATCACTAATCAGTCTACATTTATTGGTTGCTGTTTTTAGCATGTAAATACAAGAGCCTTAGCAACACTGAGCTTTCAAAGCTGTGTACTGCCTGACTTATCATGTCTAGCCTTTTCATGGAATACTGAATGGCTACGAATAAATCAGTATTAACACAGTCTACCTCCTCTCTAAAAAGTGAAAGTATAAACACAAATCATATCAGAAAATAAAAATAACCCATAAAGGAACATACCGTCCAGGACCCCACTATAGAGAAGAAATGATTGAGAATTCCCACTGCTATCCCACTGTTTATTCTGGGATTAAAGCTGAAGCATGCACAAACTAAGGAAGCTACATAATGTTAAAAAAGTAGATATAAAAAAAAACAATCCTAATAACACACGTTGCTTTTTCAACAGCACCAGTAACATAGCACAAATAAATTAAAAGGCTTATAACACAGAAAATACAGCCCTACAGAATACTAACTCCCATGATGTGGTAAATACTCTCAGCTCCTCTGAAGGAAATGAAAGCAGAGCACATTACAGCCATCACCAGAACGATGCAGAATAATACAACTTCTCAGTTCTGAGAAAACAGTAATAAAGCATAATAATAGCAGAGTAGAAACTTAGGTCTCCGTACCAGACTCTCAAATATGCACTCGCCATGTATGAAACATGCCAGCTATCAGGAAATACTAATTAAAATCTGTTACGTAAAATTAGCAATATGCATCCCTTCAGGGTAATCCAAAATCTGTATCATTAGCTAATACAGCTTGACATAACTTCACTAGTTTCTGTGCAACTCTGGGAGTTTACAAAAAGTGATGGGCAAACAAGGTGATAGTGGATTGGGAAATTCTTACGCCTACATATGAAAAAAATGAGAGAGAAAATATCAACAGATTTTTGGAGTGAAGATGTCTTGAATATTGTTTCTCTTTACAAACAACTGTAAAAAAATCCAATACAACAAGAAAACCAAAAATACCATTCAATGATAAAGAAGAAAAAGATCAAATCACAAAAATTAGATTATTTCTGTTTGACTGTATTTCACATTTTTTGACTGGATATTTAAATGCCTTATGAAGTACCTGTTACTCTTCTCTCCCAGTCTGTACCTCTTGGCTGTGATGAACTCGTGCCAGGCTTTTTCTTCTGGTCACTAAAAGATACAGTACAGACACACACAAAGTATGTTAGAATACAATGCTCAAAATGCTTCATTCTTCCCACGCGCTCAGTATAAGATCTGCATATGAATAACTAATTGAAAAAGATCATAAGTTATTTTACTTATTAAAAATGGCACATAAATGGAACTTCCTCCAGCACGTATTACAGAAAAGCTTCTTCAGAAATACTGACATATTTACACCACAAGAGGTCACCGTTATGGAACAAAAAACCTAAAGCATTTTCACTAGTACAATAAAACTGAAAGCTGAAACAAACTAAACCAAGAAAGAGACAATTTTATTTTATTATCAGTTTCATTAACTGAATATTATCTCAACTAGCTTAAAACTGTAAGTTCATCCATTCACAAGGACAGTGATATCTTCTGAAAGAATTAACACTTTTAAAAGATTTAATGAGAAGAATTTTCAAAGCAACAAACATTTTAGTAACCTTTCTTGTAAATATTAGAATTTCCAACTCTGCCTGTGAACTATTGCTAACTGCATAGTGGTCACTTGTTCTTTTAGTACATGGAAGATGTATGTTGTCATTTCATTGAAAAGCAACAGTGAGTAATGCCATAATTCCTGCTGATCGTATGATTAGTCTTTCTTTGGCCAGAGGAAGCTACTACGTACATCTGTGATAAATCCATTTTGTTTGCCTAGATACACACTAGCAGCACTGATCTAAAAGAAATACGCAAGATATAGACTCTCTTTGCTATTAAACAGGAATCTTTCCTCATTTAAATTCTGCACTAAAAACAAAGTTATTAATCTATGTCTTCTATTCTTAAATGTTTACACTTCTTATTCCATTCATGTATCAATACCCTAATCTCCTAAATTTCTGTCTAAAAGATAACAGTAGTGTTTTAGCAATGTTTTTGTTTGGTTTTTTTTTTTTAAACCTGTTAATTTAGTTGCTATAAGGCTTAAAGCTAAACTGTTGTTTAAGTGGTTTGCTGGATTGGCGCCTAAATCCTGTCTGCCAGTCCAGACAGAAGATGTAAGTCACCCTATCAACAGATGGAGACAGAATAAAAGACAAAGCTCTTGTAAGATCACTTCCCTACAAAAGGGACTGGATAACTCACTGTGATCAGTCAAAAATTTCCCAAGCAATCACATTACAGAGGAACACTTGCTTTATTATGGCTAACAGTGAATAATGCTTTCTTTTTACAGCATGAGGATTTAAGTGCTCCAAAATCCAAATGCTTACACAAACTATCTTGAAACTATTTCTGCTCATATACAGCAATTCCTACTCCTCTGGGAAGGCAATGCTTTAAAAAAAATTAGACAAGTACTTGCACGTCTACTCTAAAATAGATCTGTAACAAAGAGGGTTTCTACGGCACACAGTTCATTGTATTAACAAAAATCAAAATTTAGTTCCACTTCTATGAATACCTTGTCCTACAAACTTTAAAAGTTTAAGAAATGATTATACAAAGTTCAGCCATCCCTGAAATCAAGACTATAATCTGAAAGGACACCGGATAAGCAAGAGAACTACAACTTCAGTCACCTAACCCTAACCCAGCTATATTCAGAAATCAGTATCTTCAGATTTATAGGTAGCCATGACGATACCATCTGCCTATATGAATATGGATGTTTGAGTTTGCTTTCCTCAGAAAAAGAATTTTGTAACTATATCCTGTCTGGGGCTCTTTCCCTAAGACCTAAATCCACAGGATGAATCCAAGAAACCTCAAAAAGACAATCCCATAAGTTTTATAGGAAACAAAACCAGCTGAATAGAAAAGACACTGAAGCAAAGGATGTGGTAACCTGAACACTTATCGGATAGAAACACGATAGAAACATGCAAGATGAAGGGTAAGACCATGTCAAAGTTTGAACTGTGTAAAAAAAAAAGTTTGGTTGGACACTATGATTCCTTAAACACCAGTTTAGAGACCTGCACAAGCAGGAAAGCAAATTTGCTGTGCTGTTGGTAGTCACACAACCACCTGTACATTCGAGAAACATCCTCATAAATTAAACAGCTTAACTGGAACTTTCATTAGTTACAGAAAAAGAATACACTGAATACATACATAGATGAGAATGACTGGTGGCCAGGGTTATCTATAGGGAGTATGTACAATTTATTAATTTTGTGAGAGATTATATAATCCCTGTATGCATCTTTACCATGCTGCCAACTCCATTTTAGTTGCAGAGACCCATTTCTTTGTTATCTTTTCACTTCCATGCAGGGCTGAAACTTAAGCAGCAATATCTTGTTAAGAACTATGCAGTTAAAATGTAATCAACCTACTCTAAAAAATAAGTTACCTACTATTGAAGGGAACTGGCTTGTCAAGAGAGTGGTTGCCTTGGAAACAAAGTCAATTGGCAGAAATCTGATCATCTGATAAGGGACTCATCAAGAAATCAACTGACAGAGGCTCTGATGATTTACACAGGAAAAAGAACTTGGCAAATGGATCATCTCTATCGTTCTCATATAAGGGAGATCATAGTAGCCCCTACAAGGAACACTGCTTTCTTGAATATACACCGACTACGAGGACTTCCAAAAGGAAGGTGAGCCAGAGCTGCAGCAGTGTGTTCAGTATTTTTCCCTGGTAAAAGAATGCATAATTAAATGAAAGCAGAATTAATTCAGAAACTCTGTACGTTTGGATATTTACTTGCTTGGTCTTGCTATGAGCCTCTTGTTAATGGCAAATCTGCAAAGTCTCTCCTTCAGTGGCATTCCACGGAAAACTACAATTCTGTTGCGGTTTAACCCCAACCGGCAGCTAGAACCACACAGCTGCTGGCTCACTCCCACCAGTCGCGATGGGGGAGAGAATCAGAAGAGCAGAAGTGAGGAAAAACTCATTTGTTGAGATAAACACAATTTAATAGGTAGAGCAAAAGCTACGTGCACAAGCAAAGCAAAACAAGGGATTCATTCACTGCTTCCCATCAACAGGCAGGTGTTCAGGTCTCCAGGAAATCAGGGCTCCATCACGGTTACTTGGGAAAACAAACACTGTAACTCCAAATATGCTCCCTTTCCTTCTTCTTCCCCCAGCTTTTTATAATGAGCGTGATATCATATGGCATGGAATATTTCTTTGGTCAGTTGGGTCAGCTGTGTCTCCTCTCAGCTTCCTGTGCACCCCCAGCCCTTGCCAGCAGGGCAGTGCGAGGAGCAGAAAAGGCCTTGCTTGCTTAGCAACAGCTAAAACATCAGTGTTTTACCAACACTCTCTTCATCCCAAACCCAAAATATAGCACTACACCAGCTGCTAGTAAGAAAGTTAACTCTATCCCAATTGAAACCACGGTAATTTCACAGAACTGCGCCCCAGAGGCAAAGAATTGGGCTATTTCTCTCCCAAAGAAGCTGCACACAACAGCAAGGCCTGATTCACCATGGTGAGTGTAAGATCACAATACAGCTTGGGCTCTCTCCTCATACTGCGGTGCCTTAAACATCTGAGAATCTGGCTACCTCTTTACTTGTAAAACAGTTTGGCAATGGACCTGAATTTTGGGCCACACCCTTTCCATACAGTTAGAGCTTTAGCACGGTCCCTGCTACAGTTTTGGTCCAGGAAAGGCAGTACTTTCCTTGACAAATGTCTCGACACAGGGCACGGACAAACAGATGTAGGGACATTCCCAGCCTACACTTTGTGTGTGGTAGGGAGGGAGTAAAAATACTTTCATTGTATTAACATAACTCGTGACACAACAGTTGGCCACCAAGCCAGAGACTAACTCCTTTAATGAATTTTTATTAATTATTAATACAGATGTAGACCTCGTGCCCAACCGATCATTTAGTTGCCAGTTAAGAGAGACACAGAGCCGAATACAAAAAAAAGTTCATGCTTCTCTACAGAATTGTCTCCCTTGATCAGTGAGGTAGCAAGTTTTGCTAGCAAGAAAAGAGAACACAATCCTCTTTTCTGAATTGTCCAACTCAAAGGCATTCCCTCCAGACACCACCCTCTCCTCATGGTAGGTTTCCTGTAACACCTACATATTCTTACAACTTTGGGAGGCAAAACTAGAAAATATGGAAGTGGGAGAAGAACAGAGGAGCAGAGTAACTGAGATAGTGCAATAAAGGATGAAGAATATGATGGTTACTTTTTCAAAGAGAAGAGTAGGAATAATGGGGACTGAGCAAAAGGTAAGGGTATGGAAAAGGCCATAAGCCCCATACTATCTGCTTCTGCAGGTCCCAAGATCTCACATGACTTTTCTCCTCCAGAGATAATTAGTGTCTTCTCTTGCACCCATGTAAACTCAGTGTGTGAACTCACTCACTTTAAGTAGAGGTAGAAACTGGGACTATTCCATGTAAACAAGAATCTGAACAGAGTCTTACAAAGGCAGAGAGCTACTCACATACAGACAGTGGACAGCATGCCCTGAGTAACCGCTGTGAGGAAGCCATACACAGTAGACACTAGCTGGTGTCTGGACATAGATTTATTTACCATTTTACAAGAAGAAAATGAAAACGAATTACCAACTTTGTGATCCAGAAGATAAGATTCCACAGAGAACTCTTAACTTTGTATCTATAGGTATCTTTTGTTGGCGAATTCTACATGACTGCTTAAGGCAACTTCTTTGGGTTGGGGGTGCGTTGAAGACATCAGAAGAACCAAACTGGTTTCCACTGACAGAAACAGAAGGAATATTAGGCTTAATATCCAAGGACTTCATGGAGACTGATTAGCAAAACACCATTTTTTCTCAGTCAGCTTCACGCAAAACTTTCTAAATAATAGTAAATCTCAAACACCAGCAACATTTAAACCAGAAAAGGTAACTTGGAAGATTCTTGGAAAAATACACAGCACACTGCCTTCTGAAGGCGTCACCTGCATAAATTATAATAATATTAAAATTTACAGAACATACTTTTACATACATTTTATAAAAATATGAAACAGAACATGGTCTAGTTAGTCCAAAAACTGTCTTCAACTATCTCTTTTTAGTTTATCAGAGTAAGACTGGTAAGTGCAGACACAGAAAAACATCTTCAGAAGTTGTTTCCTGATAAGAAGCCTTAGTCTGTGTTGCCGCCATGTGAAAGATCTCTTATCATCCATGTGACAAAATGTTGGTCTCATTGCTAACTTCTAGTAGCATTTTCTAAAGTAATATTTAGTTAGGAGTTGGGATTCAGATTATTTTTAAATAGATTTCTAAGGCCTTTGAATTTAGTGTCTCTCAATTTCCTTTTGTTTCTTTGATGACCTTTTTCTTCAGTCAGAAAACTGTAATTATGAACATGCAATTTCTACACATCTATATCTGCAGAGCATTTTCTGTATCTGCAGAACCACAATTCTGATCTTCTTAGTTCCTTCCTCATAAGGAAATCTAAGCCCCTGATAGTTTCATTGTTTGTCCTTAGAGCTCTTTTATTTTTATACGGTAAACAAAATCAGTCACATTTAATCTAAAAATACACTAGCCATTTATGTAACAAAAACATACAAAAGCCATAGAAGGGCACACCTCACTCAGTGTCTTCTAAAAGTGACCAAAAAGCTTCTCAGATGCCTCCAGCAAATAGGAGGTGCTTAATTTGTGCCTTAATGTTTTTCACCCTGATGCATTCCCCTCTCTTTTCTTCCATTTTCCCCTAATAGTCACTCTATTTCTCCCCAAAGTCTTTTCCTTCATTCCACTCCCTTTATCCCCCACAAACTTCCTTCTTCTAGTTAATTTAAAACCCAAAAATGTGACTTAGGTTTTTACAAATTTTGGATCCCTGATATATTGATGTTTTCAGGTCTTCAAACATCTTGGAGAGCAATTTCTAACTTTTCACAAGGCTCCAAAAACAGCCTAGGCACTGCAATAAGTGAAAGATGCAAACTGTTTATACATAAATACAAGCACTGAACATCTGATTTTACAAACATATGTTGTGCGCGTTGGAAAGCCAGACACGATGTATCTACACCCCAAAATCAAGACATTTCACTAAATGGTAAGAAGAACAGATTTAGAGCAATGTTAAGCAGATCCTGGGGGCTTGCTCAGGCAAGGCAGATGTCTCAAACGGACTGTTAGGCACAAAAGTATTCTTTCACCTAGAGCAGAGCTCAGACACCCTGCTTGCGGGTAGTCCCGAAACAGATATGCCATTTTTAAAGTCTGTTCTTTGAGATGTTACTGGCACATATATTCACAGTGTGACTACATCAACACTATAATCTGGGTTTACTTTTAATGCTAGTAGTACCCAGGGTGGCGTGCCTCCTTATCTGTTACGGATCATTTAGCTATTTAAGCAGTTGTGTATTTTCCTTTCAACCACAGATTCCCAAATGCTATATGGACTACTGAGGGTAAAGTTGCAAGGATGTGTTGTGAAACTATACATAACCAATAAATCTCTAAAAAGAACAGTCACCAGTAAATAACTAGTTTTCCCTCTTTTCAGTGCCCGCCATGGGGGAGAAGGAAGAGCTCTTGTCACAGAACCAATGCGGGTGTCACAATCCACCCTGGCTTCAGCTATTTATATACACTGATAAGACCTCTCCCAAGCCTCCTCTTCTCCAAGCTAAACAGTCCCAGCTCTCGCAGCCTTCCCTCACATGAAGGACTCCCAGCATTTTAGTAGCTAGACTCTCTCCAGCTGCTCCGTATCTCAAGTGCACTAGAACTGGACCTGGCACTCCAGGTGTGGTAGAGGTTTTCAAGACACAAGTTAATACGGTGCTACATAATCTAATCTAGGCTCCCTTTGCCACAAAAGATTGGACCAGGTGATCTTTTGAGGTCCCTCCCAGCCTGATCTGTTCTATAAACTTGGTGCCCACCAGGACCTCCAGATCTCTTTCTGCAAAGCTGCCTCCTACCTGGATCGCCCCCCATATGTTGCCAAAAGGACATAAGAATTAGTTGTATGTATTGTCTTTCATTGGTTGAATAGTAGAGAATACGTTTTTGCAGGTTTTATTTTAAACCAAGTTATTTCTTCCTGACCCATTAGCACTGGAAAGGAACTCTATGTTTTTAGACAAAGAATTGACCTTCATTGAGCCACTTTAGAGAATATACCCCTATTTTGCTCAACTACCACTGAACTTTCCTTTCTATGATGTCACCTCAGAGAAAAACAAGATAGATACAAACACAATGTGGAAATAAGTAATAGGTGTGCCTCGAAGGAAAAAGAATTAGTATAACTGCTGAATTTTTAAAGACTAATTTCCTTTCAGAAAACATAATGGACACACAGTAAATTACCTGTAAACAGCTAAAAGAGATATAAATCAAAGTATTAAACCAATTACACAAACTTCTAGTCTGTCCTGTCTCTCAGCTACAAAGCTTTTCAAAAGCATGCAAATAATTGAAAAACTGATAATATAGATGTCTTGAAATTATTTCAGGAATTGTAGAGGATTATATCATAAGTAACACCAGCAGAAAAGACAAAAACAAAGGGAGTGAAAACTATAACTGACACTATAACTATAACTGATACCACTGATGTGAGAAAGGATGAATAGTAGAAAGGCAACATAATTTGCAAAAATATGTTGACAAATAGGCCAACTACACTCTGAGTCATCCTAAAGATGAGCAAAAACCAATTCCTCTATAAACACAGTCATGGGCATAGTCCATTACTTATGACAGTTCCGGCGATAAAAAGAATATAGTATTTTATTTGTAAAGTCTGTTGATAAAGAACTTCATGCACATGCTAAATAGCATGGCTTAGAAGAATAATAGAGGTTGACAAAAAACCTATATCCTTATCCTTTTTATTCTTCATAGTCTTTGTATCTTCTGCCTAATACAGGAAAATATTAACACCCATTTGTAGCAGGATATCTTTAACCAAGCAGACAACTGACAGCCTAATTCTAACCATAAAAGCAACCTAAAACACAAACCTAAATGTATTTGAGTTTGAAAAACACAGCATCTTCACTTTTCTAACTTTAATCTTGCAAAAGCATTCTCATTCTAAACAAAAATTCAATCTAAATCCATACCTAGACTGAATTGGCATTCCTTCTTTACCCCTTGCATGGCACATTTTCCCATTCTAGAATTACCATTCAGTTGCTAATAAGGACTCTCAAGATCTAGATCTCCCAGATTTAGAGACCAATGACCTTATCCTAAACTAATGACTAGAGTGGAAAGACACCCTTTTGAGGAGGCAGTAAAAATGAGCCTAAATTGCACTCTTTCACAAGCGAAGAGACCAGAGATAACAGCTATCTGTTGCTCTTTTCTTTAGAAGTCTACTAAAGTTCTGGAAAAAGAATTCTTCATTCCCAATTATCTCTCACTGTCCCCTAACCCTACACAAAATCAGGCACTCTCTTTGAAAAGGCAGGTGTCACACTTTCTTTAGAAAACACTGTAGAAAGTTCTGCTTGTGAAAGCTTTCCCACCACTCAATATTTTTTTCTTAAATTAGCGGTCTCAATAGCTAGTGGAACTGAGGCAGAAATAGAGAAAGATTAAGTAGCAGTAGATTAATTTCCTGTTTCTATGTCTTTCTGAGAGCTCCAGAAGTTGTGAATATACATAATAAGAAAAGATAATCCCTGAAAGAAGTCTGGAGAATCTGCAGCAGTATCAACTAAACCACACAACAAATATACACACCATGTCATTTATTTCAAAAATTCATCCAGAGCAAAACAGAATGGGCGTTCCTTTCAGGCAAGAAATCTATCTCCTCTGTAGGAATCCTTTTCTTTGAGGAGAAAAGGAATGAATATTTTGGGTGCAGATGTGAAGCTAGTTTAAGCAATCAGACAGAAGTGATTTCCAGTATTCACTTGTGTCCTGCTTTTAAAATTTTCTACTGAAGCATTCCAAAACTCTTAGACAAGAAAGAGAAGCTCATCTTATGGAAGCTGCTGATGAATACCTCTCAAGGTTTCTGTCAAACAGGGATTTAATAAGGACAGCAATAGTGATAGAAAAGGGGGCATTGTATATCTTCTTAACAACACTTCTAATAATTTTGTAGCTATTTACAGAAATTAGTTCTTAAAAAAAGTGTAGAGCAGACCACTTGAGAGTCAACTGTTTGCCACCAAGCTTTTCCTCGTTGAAGTCACCTATGTTTCTAAGGAGTCCTGGAATGAGATCTAAACTTTCAGAATATTGAGAAATCGGAGGAAGAGAAAAAAAAATAACAAAATCATCTTTTCTCACCAGGGAAACTGTTGCTCTTCATCATCAAATCTGCCATCACTGTTGACACTTCTGTTGAAATATATGAATGCAGAAGACATTTTAGAAGTTTCATTTCTATAGCAATCACAATAGATGGCAAAGCACAATGGCTGGATGAAGATGTAAACAAAACCTAGCTTCCTTATGATTGTCAGAAATTGCTCCTTGCTTTCCTGAGGCAACATGTCAATAAATTCAATCTGCTTCAATTAATATACCTATTCTATTGTAACTAGATGGTTATTTGAAGAACAGAATTGCAAACGAAATGGCAAATAACTCTTCCCCTTGAAAGGTTCTTTTCTCTTTTTTACCCCCAGTATCTTTATATAGCAGTAGTGATTTCATTAACACTGTTCATTCTTTTCGTCAGTCCTTGGGACAACAAAAGAGATGGAAAGCGAGCAAGCCTCTTGCTGGACTAAAATACTTCCCTTATGTTCTCTTTGAAGTAAATGTAATAGCATTAATGACAGGAACCTGCCATGCTATTTTGGCATGCTCTACAGTTTCATTATTAACAGAAAACCAGTTTTATTAGAAGAGTTATTTTGGTACATATATAGGAACTGTGGGGAAAGGGGAGTAAGGAGTCTCATGCACCTTATCCTGTATGAAGTGTACTATTTCTATATTCCTCTTGCTTAATTCCTGCAAGGATTTTAAATCACTGGGATACAGAATTGAGGCTGACACAACTGTTTCATATAGAGAATGACAGGACTCCAGGTAATAAAAGTTTTCACGTTCCTTTAAGCCTTCATCCTATTATTCCTGAATACAACGTACTTTAAATAGAAAATATCTTTTAACTTCATACAAGATGCCTCAAGTATTTATGACATAGAAGCAGATGCAATCTAATCACAGCAATCATCTAGTACCTGTAAACACATTCTATTGAGAAGAATGCCAAAACTTGGTTACTGCAATGTAACATACCAGAACCTTTTATATACAACTCTTACCAAGACCAAACGCAATGAACTATATTGAAGGACAGGTTTGCGATATCTTTCAACTGCCTCGTCAGATGAAGAATGACATCTCTGAACTCAGCAAAAGACATAGATCAAGGTCTGCCTGTCTTGTTAGTACCACATGCGAATACTGAACCAATGTGTTTATTGGCATAAGTCTTAGCAACGAGTCGGAATGAACGCGAGTAGTTGAGATTACCTAGAGCCATTCCATCATATGATGGCATGAACTGCTTGGGCTAATATAGATGAGGGATCTTTGTTCTTTACTAAAGGCAAAACATTTGTACTATTTTTGTGCATATTGGAGAATTGCAGTTATGTCTGGTACTCTAAGCCATACGAGCACCTAAATGTTGTCAGTGATCCTTGGTGCAAGAGTATAAAGCAGCACAGGCAGCACCTCTTAGGCAGCATTAGCAAAAATCACCTCTGTCTCAAGTACACAGAAAACATGCGCAACACACAGGAGAAGGTAAAGAAGCACCATTCAAAAATACAGATCTTGCATTCAACACAGAAAGAGGGAGGAATATTATGTTACTCTTCCTCTCTTCTTCTGAGAAAACTAGTCAGAACAGTATCTTAAGGCCAGTAATTTGAGATCTAATTTAAGTGATAGGTGAGATTCAACAACCTCTAGTATTATTCTCCCTAGCTGAAACATGGATATGACAAGCTACACGCATTAGCATTCCATCTTTTATGGTTAGAATCATTAGTATCTTAGCTATCACATTAAGAATCAGAAAAGTAAGTAACAGGTCATAAAGAAATTAAGCCAGAGGAGCTTACGCAAAATGAACCTTGGCAACCTATTCTTCAAACATGGATAATAATATTTCAAGAATATAAAAAGTGAAAATTATCATTTTCCCCTTTCAACTTTTTATATTTTCTAAAACCCATCCTACACAGAGAAACCAAACCGAAAATGTCCTCAAAGACTTAATGTTGCAACGAGCAAACTTTTTGGTAACAGGCTTTTTTCACCTCTTCCTAATAACATTTCGGTAGAGAAGCCAGTCATTCTCAAAAATTATCAAGGTAAATCATGCCATTCTGTGGTTCAAGCTACCAGAAAACTCAATGATTATGGTACACAACGCCCTATGAATGGGCGATTGCGAAAAGCACCAGTAACAAAAAACCAAAATCATAACCTTATGGAACTCTCAAGCTATGAGAGTTGAAGTATATAATTTTGAACACATAGAAAGGATGTATAATAACTTAACTGTTTAATCATACCTATAAGTTTTAAAATTATGCCTCAGAAGGAAAGGCATTCTTTCCAATTAGTAAAAGTATCAACTAACCCTTTCTTATAAGACACACTTGGATACCATTAAATAAGTACACATTTCAACTGCAACACTAAAGTACTTCACACCACACCTTTACTATATAAAAGTCAAATTAAGAAAGAAATTTCTTTCTTAATTTTTTCATAATTTCTTTCTTAATAAGTTTCCAAAAGAAACTTATGAAGTAGGATAATCCATACAGTCTTTACCTAAAAAGTCTTTTGGGTCACTGATTTTAAAGGGAGAAAATGATCTTGCACTGAAGCATTCTCCTTGGTTCATTACTTTCCTTCGGCCATATTTTTCATAGCTGAGCTCATATTCTCATTTTCCCTCCCTCCACTGCCATGAAATTTTTTCTTTGCTCCCACAAGTCTCCGATATTTCAGAATCTATCTTTTTTTTTTTAAATCCTGCTTCCAGTTTAATATAAAAGAAGAGTGCTACGACAGCTCTGCTATGTATCACTTGCTGTAACAGCCTCAATGGACAACACTCTCTAAACTATTCAGTATTACCATCAAGTTAGTAAATGAAAGGCATTTCATAAAATCAAGAATATACTCCTTAATATCAAAGGTGCTTAAGAATATCGAGGGAAATATATTTTTCCTAAGCATAAAAACATGCTAGAAAGAAGATATCTACTGGCAAATATTTATATTTAATAGTGACCAAGTCTTTATAGGATGGGTTTGAAAATAAACTGTTATTCTTTCTTTGTTGTAGAGATTGCCAGATCTGTCAGTGTTATTAGCACAAAACAGTTGTTCGTCCAACTACTAATGCAGCAACTGATACACGTACTGAACATAGTGCCACGGACTATTCCTCCCTGTGCAAGAATTCAGATCTGAATCGAAAGAAAAAAAAAAAAAAAAAAAAAAAAGAAAAAGACTTAATTGTGAATTACAGAATGGATGTAATAATCTAGGTTCAGTAAAAACAGACGGCATGTGCATAAATCTCATTCATCCCTTACACCTGTTTCGTCATGAAAAAAATGAACTAAGAAGAATTCAAAGCCACAAAAAATACTTTGCCTCTATTGTCAATGAGTTTAAGCCTGTTTTTTTGGTGAATCATCACGTATTCCCCCAGTACCAGAACTGAAAACATGGCTCTACTTATCTGTGGAGCTAAAGGAAGAATGTATATCACCTTAAAACAACAGGCTTGAACTGTAAAAGCAAGCATATTGAATTTAAACTTGAGTACTTTATAGGCAATTATTAGAAGACTTAGTTTTGAAATGTTAATGATCAAACAAAATTAAAGTTATTTCAAGATACAGCAAGCAAGTTCCTACCAAAAATTTTTGGACAAATTAGCATTTTGAGTGTAGAAACCTCCTAAGAACAGAAGTGTAAATTTTTTTTTTCCTAATAATCTAAACATATTTTTGTTTCAATAGTGCTACCTTCAAATTCCATCAATTTTAAACATTTTGATACTTGCATAACTGAATATCTAGGAAGAGGGTTGTGTGGAAGGTGCATATTACCATACATGAGTAATACTGACCTTTCTCCTCCCGGTTGAAATAAAAATTTTTCTGTTGTCCCTTTTAGGGAATCTTCCCTCTCCGATCTGCTGAAATGCTCATTACAAATTAATTGTCTGCTTTCATCGTTAAATGGGGTGTATGACCTTTGCTCTGCTAGGCAGTTATTATTACTTCTGCAAAGATTATTCATCACAGCTGTTTCTTCAGAATCTAGCTTCTCATCATCTGAAATAGCCAAAAAGAACACATTGTGTAGAAAAGGTCTTATACAATAAATACACGATAGAGCTCAAAATGAATTACTGCCTGTCATATTACATTATCAAAATTTGCTTGTATCAATTTAAAAGATAAGAAAGCTTAAGACTATTTAGAGCAAAGTAGTCAAAGTCTTCTTATGAACATAATTTCTTAAAGACTTTCAGTTTTGTGTTTTAACATTTTAATCTTTCATCTATTTTTGTTTCTATTTCCCTTTTAGAGATAGGTGGATTGTACCTTGTGAAAGAAGGGATTGTATTTCAGGGTATGAATATTATGAAGGAACTCAAGCATAAGGTAGCTGTTAATCTTGTTCCTTGGTATCTATATGTGATAAGTACCTGCACAAAAAACTTATGTATATATTTGCATGATTCCCAAAGGGGAGAAAAGGCAAACTCAGACTAGAACTATATCAGGTTCTCAACTTCTCCAATTGGTAACATTAACTTATTAAGGCTAACAGATTAAACTACATATAGGGGTACATGATATAAATTTAAGTTTATAGACTATGTACATAATATTGAAGTGTAGTTCTTTTTGTATAAGACTTATTTTGCAATAAGGTAAAAAGTGAGATAATTCAGTTTATCACGTAAAGTAACAATCCCAGGCAATGTAAGAATTGTCATTATTATAGATGACTCTTTAACACGTTTTATTATGAGCCAATGTGCAGGAAAACAAGATGTAAAGTCATTTCCCATCTGCAAGAAAATTACTTTTAAATCTCACATTTAGTGACCTTTATTAATTCTTCACTAATGAAAATGTTAACAACAAATACAATGTAGTTGGAGGCCTGTCAAGACATATCATTCCTTTTTACTCCGCTTTTAATGCTCAATAATCCATCAGGGAATCTCCTCAGATGATGCCGTCTCATTATCTCTTTAAACATTTCAACATTTAATGTTAATTTTACCCATTGAAGAAAACTTCCAGTAAAAATTCCATCACTTAGAAAGCTACAGGAAAAAAAGGCACCTGAGGAGTTTTCAAATCACTTTCAGAAGAGAAAGCCAGTATCATTTTTAAAAAATCACATTTTCAAAACTACCTTAAAGCCATTTAAGTATTTGTAAGATTTACTCTGAAAGGGCATGCAGGTCCTTTAATATAATATAATAATTGATGTAATAATGATATTAAAACCCATAATGCAGATATTATTCCTGGAAATAATGTGTATCAAAACATTCTTACTCTGATCAGGAGGAACCATTTTAGCAGAAAGGAAATTTCCCTGAGAAGTTCTTCTAAAAAAGCGAGCCCGAGCACTGCTGAGCTTTCTAACCTCTGCAGCATCGGCGGGAGGTTTTGGAAAGGAAATGGAAAAATCTTCATCTTTTGCAAAAGCGACTAGTTCTGGTTTCTGTGACAAATATAAAGAAGATATTTTAATAAAAGCAGAGATCATTTCATTTCCATATAAGAAAAAAAAAAACACAACCCAAATGATTTATACAAAGGATTAAGTTTAGAATAGAATAAACCAAAAGGTACATAGATTTGCTCATTAAAAATTTTTCATCTTCATATAGAGAATCTAATGATACCATTTCACTGAACAAGCTAGATATCTATACCATTATCACCACAGAAAGCAAACACTCAAGGGTGCAGAAAACAAACAAAAACTAGCCTGAGTACAGCAAGTGAAACTCAGAATTATTTTCCTCATAAATATTTACTTATCATCATCTACAGTATGCCAGTTTGTCAAAAAAAAGTTGTGCCAAAGACTTGCACTAACAATTCTACAAGCACATCTACTCTTTAGGATTTGTTTTTGAGCACTAAAGCAGTATTTCCAAAACACTTCAAATGTGTTCGTATCACATGTACCACTTTCTATCACACCGAGACAAATCACGCAGAGCCAGAAACATGCAAGTTCTAGTTTTATTTACATTGGTATCTTGCATGTTAGAAGATGTGACCAGCCCCCTGAACCTCAGATACAAAACATTTGTTGTGCCCTATGTAAATGTACTGCCTTGTAAGATCAAGGTTCTCTACAAATTTCCTTAAAATAAAGAATCCCTTAGAAAGTCTCTGGTCTGATCCTTCAGATCTCTCCCTGGTATAAGTCGAAAATAGCCAAGAGGTGAGAGCCACTCCCCACAACCACCATGACTAATACAATCTCTGAATTTACAGTGATGCATTTACAATTTGGCTCCACTGCTAAAGCAGTAAAGGCAGGTTTTGCATTGGTCTTTAACAGCAGTTTTCTCTAGGTTTTTTTTCAACTCTCACACACAAGATAAATGAAAATTTAACACCAGTATTTAAATCCAACTGTAGATATATTTAATCTGAGTATGGTGAGAATTTTTTAAGCTGATTCACAGAAATACATTACCTTATCAAAATTACTGAACTATAACATTTCTTGGATTTTTTTTCCTCTCTTTCCTAAAGAATGCTACATTTAGATTACTGTCTTAAAGAAATAATATATACAGCAAGTATACTTAACTGCTTTAGCATGCTCTGTTCTCTCAGGTACTAAACAAATGTTCATGATCAAATATTATATTTAAAGATTAAATATAAAAAACCTGAAAGAGCAGATACACTTAAAAATTGAAAACAATTCAAAATTTTCACAGAGGGAAAAGGGGGTTCTTACAAGTACCTCTATCTGGTTTTTTAAATAAAATACAATCATTATATTCTTACAGATGTGTAAGTAAAATAGAAGCACAATCAATATATTTACTTTCAAGTTATTGATCACAGAACCACAGAAAAGTTGAGGTTGGAAGGGACCTCTGGAGGTCATCTTGCCCATCCTTCCTGCTCAACTGCCCTGGACTTGACCACGGCCAGGAAGCTTTTGAAGATCTCTAGGAAACCTGTGCCAGGGCTTTGTCACCCTCACAGTGGAAAAACTGTTTCCTGATATTTAGAGGGAACATTGTGTGTTTCAGTTTGTGCCAGTTGCCTCTGGTCCTGTCACTGAAAAGAGCCTGGCCCCATCCCCTTTGCACCCTCCCTTCAGGTATTAATATACATGGACAAGATGCCCCCTGAACCTTCTTTTCTCCAGCCTGAATGGTCCCAGCTCTCAGCCTTGCTCCAGTCCCTTCATCATCTTTGTGCCCCTTCATTGGACTCTCTCCAGTTGCTCCATGTCTCTCTTGTACTGTGGAGCCCAGAAATGGACACAGCACTCCAGATGTGGCCTTACCAGTGCTGAGCAGAGGACAAGGATCACTTCCCTCAACCAGGGAAGTGTCAACACTCGTCTTAATGAAGCCTAAGAGACCATTAGCCACCACCTTTCCAACAAGGGCATGTTCCTAGCTCATGTTAATGCTCATGACCTTTTAGTAATCTTACACAAGAAAGCTGACTCAAGTATCCATCTTCTGATTCCTGTTAATGTCACTTAGAATGACAATGCAATACAGCAATATTTAAATAGTTCAACTTATTTTCAGATTTCTTTTGGGAAAAAGAATGACAAAACTGACTTTTTAAGTCTCAGACTAACATTAAAACAAACTTCAATTTCTCCCCAACCTATTTAAACCATATATTTTCCTAACGCTACTGATACTGACATAAAAATATGTGTATTGCATGAGTTATTTCCCGAGTACTCACATGATCCAGCGGGCTAAGACGAACACCAGACACTGGTCTTGATTCAGCCAAATCAAAACTGGATGCATGAAGACTAGCATAAAGAAATCAAACATAATATGAATAAAGCAGACTCAGTGTTTTGTGGTGGTTTTTTTGGTTTTGTTGTTGTTTTTTTTAATTGCATGCTTCTTCTCTTTGCTAATGAATATGGGGAAAAGGAAGAAGAAAGGAAGAGCACTTTTACACTATCACTCTTCTTCCTTGAATGCTATTTAACTTTGACATCTGGGCATCCAGCAGCATCAAGGGAGAAGAATTACAAGATCGCCAGCACACCTGCCATGCTACAGTTTATTTCATACATGTCTGTAACAATTCACCAATATAAGTCTCATTTCAAGCGTGGTTAGTGCCCGAGCTATCTGACACAAGCAGCAGAGCCCCCAGATTTGTGCAGGCATGAGCATGCTCCTTCCTGTACAGGGGAGAAGCACAGCCAGAACACACATGGATGTCAGCCAGAGTGACCCTGTTACCTGGTCACCAACAAAAGCCAAGTCACTCTCAGGCTCCTGCCTTCTGCAGGGGCACAACAGCATGCAGTAAGGAGTACTGGATACATACAGTGCCTGACGTCACGCTGCCACAAAAACAGCATGGACACTGACTTATTCATATGGCCATTCAAACATGTCTCAGCATCCCTTCTCGCCTGCCTGACATCTAACATTTCAAATACAGCTCACATCTCCTCCCTACAGTCATTACGGAACTGGCACATAAGGAGAGCTAGAAACGTGACTGGGAAAACGGATGTAAAAAGCCCAATATACATTTTGTTTTCTCTTTTGTCACAAGAGGAAGAGCTATTGAGCTCTGTAAATTATGGTACATAACAAAACTCCACAAAGAAATAATCTGAAGTAGTAAAAATTTTGTTTAAAAATGAGTACTTCAAACTTCAAGAGCTATAATCTTATATATAAGACGACCTGAGAAAACTCTGAAAAAAGATCTATCTTACAGTTTATGTGGAAGCAAGCAAGCTTTCACAGTTTCTAGGGGAAAGCTGAAGACTATCTCAAACAAAAGCACACACTGTCTTAAGATAAAGGTGAGTTACAGACCGTTTTCCTAACTATTTTCCATATACAAAAATAGCGTAACAACTCCCACTGGCAGCTCTAATCCACAGGAACTTCCTGGACATGTAGATTAACACCAACAGTAAAGATCATTAGAAGAAGGCAAAGGATGTGATTAGGAATACAGATTAACACAAGGGGAAAAAAAATCACCAGAAACATAATTACAGAATTAAATCTCTTGCTGCTAAAGGATATTTGAAAAAATCTTAAAGCCACAGTACCTAAAAACTGAAGGAGGTCTATTTCGAGGAGCTCGTGAGGATCCAGATCCAAAAAGTTTCCTTTGATCTTCTATAGGTGTAAATGGTCTCCGAGTCCTCAGTGTTCGTAGAACATTTCTGGCTTCATTTATAATCTCAGAACTGGTCTTCCTCTTTGGTACTGAAAGTCTGTAGAATGGTGCTGCCTTTTCTGTATTTTTATCCTTTGAAGGCTGCATTCTGCTGCAAATTAGTGTACAGAAACATTACTGTACAATATATATGGAAGGCACAGAATATAATGCTAGTTTTAAATTGCAAACTACTAATTCATCAATGTTTATGCTACCATAATGTAATTTAAAAAGATATTATAACAAAATCCTAGATGGTAGTGAAGTGGTGGAAAATAAGGCTCATTGATACTGCATTTCCCTCGCTATTTCTCAGTTCTGTAGGAAAATACTGAAGAGCAGAAAGCATCTGAGGACCTTTAGGTTTTTTTAGAGGGAGCTAAATTATACTACACTCAGCACTATAGTGCTTTCTGGGCCAAACATGGTACTCTCAGAGAAAACCTGGTAACTTCTATTCTCTCACATAGTGTATGACAATGAACCAACAGTAGATCAGACACTGCCATCTTGGTTATTTCTAAACTATGGAGCAAAAATCCTATTCCTCTAGTTTCTTAGTTCACTTCTTCCTGTTCTGCACCTTTACATTTCCAACTGCCTCTTCTGTTCTTTCTTTCAAAGCCTGTTCATTCTGGCAAAGTTTCTTTAATTAACATACAACCCAACTCCTTCATCTGGGCTACACAAGATAAAATTGGATGCTAAGGAGCGGTGCACCAACTCTTTCACTGAAAGATGCACAATTACAAAACAGAGGAAAAGATCAGGAGCCTGAGACTGTCCACATTTTTAATCCTTTGACTACCATTAATACATTTCTTTTCTTCACTGTGACTATATTTGGCTCTCTGTGCTCCCTACTCTTCCCTCTATTACAACACGATTCAAAAGAGATAAGTAAGGAATTCTGCTGCAGCAGCCTGTTTGGAGCAATGATACAGACACTGAACAAAGAAGGTAGATTATCATTCCCTATTCTCCCAGCTACTCAGAGTCCAGATTTTCACCTTTAAGTGGAAGGTGTTCTGTGTAGGCCTTATTTCTGACACAGATATTATCCACCACGCACAGAAACAACAGCTGTGAATACATACTAAAACATAATCAACATGATTCTACAAATCAGAAATCTGAACTAATTCATATTTCCTCTTTTCCAGCCTGTGTATTTCCATCCACCTTTCTAAATTTTAAAATAAATCTTCTTAAGTAATACAATATCTCACATTTAATCTCTGAAGGACACCCTTTTCTTTAGTTCTTAAAATGTCTGTGCTCTGACATTTAAATGAGTATTTTATGGGATCCATGTAGATCTGCTTTGTAGTTAAACTAAGAAGTTAAACTGAGAGACAAGATGCGTTACTGCGGAACGGCACCCCCTCTGAGACAATCAACGTTTAGTTAAGTCTATTGCCATCCGCGAAAGCTGAATTAGCGGAGTCCTACTATTCGGGCGCTGTTTCTCGCCCTTCAGATCCACGAAAGCCACGGGTTTAATAATTAACGTTGCAAAGGGTCCCTGTGCCTCCGTTTGAAGCGAAGAGGGGTGGCGGGAGCGGGGAGCCGGGCGTGGCGCGGAGCTGCCACCGGGGGGCGGCAGCGAGCAGAGCCAAGCACTTGGAACCACCCCTCCCGCGCGCGGCGCCCACGCCCCCCCCTCCTCCTGGCGCGAGGCACCCCCGCACCGCACGCGCAATCGTGGGAGCGACACAACAGATTATTAACCGATACCCCACAATTATTAGCCAGAAAATGTGCTAGAACGCAGAGGAACGCAGTGTCATAAAATATAAGTTGTGTGTGTATGTATATATATATAAAAATAATACAAAAGCTCACTCTCTTGCAAGCATTTAAAAACCAGGAGTAATTCTCTATCTGAAGGAGTTTGGTTGCTGTGCCATCCCAGTACAAACACCGCCTCCTTCCCAAATGACAATTTGGGTTATTTTAACATGCCTAAGGCTGAAACATCCAAGCATCAAGCAACCGCTCTCCTGCAGCAGCGCCCAAGACAGAAGCTCCATCTGCTCTCCAGTGTCCCACCACCCCAGAAGCTTTGAGGAAGCCCCTTCAGCCACACTACACCAGTTCTCCTCCTAGCAAACTACCACCTAGATCCATGCATAAGGGAAAAACCCTCCAGCCACCAGAAGCTTTCTTGACTTTGGTAAGCATAAGGTACCTAGAATCACTCACTTGCAGTGCCAGAGACTAGTTTAAAATATGGTGCAACAAATGAGTGCAGCAAGCAGAAAGTAGAAGTACAGGATGAAGGACCAGCATAAGAGTGGAAGGGAAACGACTGCACTGGCTGTCTGTTTCTACCTATGGTTTTCATCATTTATACAAGACTAGTTCTGTCAGCGTTTGTAATTTTTTGTAAGAATTTCTATTTTTCCACAAACTCTACCCTTTTAAAAATAAATTATCTTAGTTGCAAATAAGAAATAATTCTAATTATTAGTGCTTCTTTCTGAAAATCCAGCAGTGTCCCCATTTTGCTCCCCAATCCCAGCATGGGACAGATAAAGGGAATGTTGTAGTGTCAATGGGGCCCACATAACTGGTATGCCCAGGTCATGTCCCCCACATGTCACCATTTCCCAGGTAGCTTGCTCAGATGACGATCTCCTCTCTGACTCTCTAGTGGAAGGTAGAAGAGTATTACACGAGTGTCTGAAAAGCCATACATGGGCTTCTGTCTTTTTTCCCCAGTTCTTTACTCCAGAGGCCTGGTCTTTGCTGTACAGGAAGAGTTGAAAGCAGCAGACAATTGTACAGGATCAGAGAACCCTGGCTTAGTCCTAGCTATCTCCAGAGGTGAGATAGCTGCACTTATCCTGGGTCAATCAACACATGGGAGAAGCATGGCTGACTACATCAGATGTGGCACCACACCGGCGCTGCCTTCCTATCCCCCAGCTCAAAACCAGTGCCATTTAATTGCTGGCATACCGAGGGGGTACACTTGCAATCACTAAGTACACCGAGGAGAAACCCTGGACTCAAGCCATGAACACTCTGCTCACCCAGACCTGAATGCAAGTTCTGGCTGCCCAAGCAACCCTCTGGAACGGTCAGCACCCTATAAATACAGGTTTAATAAGAGCGATTGAACACTGGGTGTAATTAGATGTAATGCTAAACATCAGCAGCTTTTCACCCAGCTGAAAGCTCGGTGAGATGTCGAAGCAGAGACATCGCTATCAAAAAGGAATGAGAGCAAAGTCAGGAGAAGCGAGAGAGCTGGATGTTGATTGCGGCCGCCGGAGGAATCCCGGCACCAGCGGCACCTGTGGCGGAGAAGCCGCCCCGGGCTTAGCGGAGTAACCACCCCAAACCCGGCAAACGAGACTCTCCCCCGGGCACGGCGGATAGCGAGGTGCCAGGAGACGGACCGGAGGTTCTCCCCGACCTACCGCCCGCTCCGGCCTCCGCACCCCCCCAACCCCCCGAGGGCGAGCGTTACGGCCCGGCGGGGCACGGCCGCCGCCGCCACCGGGCGCTGGCCAAGGCGCTCGGCACCGGCGCCCGCTGTTCCCATGGCAACAGTACACACCGTGGCCGCCGGAGTGGCGCGGCCGACCCGGCAGGGCCGGGCGGGCCCCTCACTCACCTCCGCCGAGGAACAGACGGCCGCGCCGCCGGCACCGTTACGCCCCGCGCGCCCCCCTCAGCCGCACCCGCGGGGGTGGGAGCGGAGCCGGGGGCGGGGGTAGCCCGGAGGCGCTCAAGGCGGCTGCGCGGGCCGCGGGTGGCGCAGGCGCAGCGCGGGCCGGGCCGGGCTGGGGCGCGCTGAAGGGAGGGCTGGGTGCGGGGCAGCGGGCTACCGGCCGTCGTGGATGTTGCCCGTTCGGCCCGATGTCCCCGCATCCCGGGGGCGGTGGCAGTGGCCGTGAGGGGTCCTGCCGCAGCGGTGGCCCGCAAGATGGTGGCGGGCGCTTCCCCGGCCCAGGTGGTAGCGGGTTGGCCAAAGCCCCGTATTGGGGTTGAGGAAAGTCCCTGGGTTTGGAAATGCTGGATGCGAGGTGTTGTGGTGCCTTCCCTCTCAGCTCAGATTTACAGATCGGAGGAGGGGACACATTGAATGTTTTCCACACAAAAAAAAACCCGGGGGACTCGGGCGGGATGTAGCCGTTCACAAATTTAGACCTTTATCAGGAATCACAGAATCTTAGTGGTTAGAAGGGACCTCCAAGATCATCGAGTCCAGGAAGTTTTGGTTGGGACAGGGTTGAGGCACGGAGGAATGCACCTAACCTTGAATAGGACATCAAACAAGACAATGTGTCTTACGTCTTCCTTTGGAGTTGCTGACTTAGACATAAGACCAAAAATACAACTTCCTGGACCAAGCCAAGAGTGCCTCCCAAACTAACCCGGGGTAATTATAATGCTAAAATGTGCAGCCCTTTGTGAATAATGAGTATGCTAATCAGATAACCTCCCAAAATGTTTTAAACATGAGCTTAGATGTATATGTACAGTTAGGAGTGGCGAATGAGTCACTATTGACCAATTGGCTGTATTTTATCATTATAAATACTGGGGGGTGTGAAACGTGAGGTGTGATGGCTGTTGTTAAATGGCTGGCACCCACTTCTGCAGAACTGCAATAAAAACAGGTGTCTCAACTCGGTGTGAGTAGGTTATAGCTCTTGCAAACGGGGTGAAGAACCCTCACTTAGAGCAAACAGCAGCAGCCACAAAACCCCTTCCCTGGGTCACCTTGGTCAGGCACCATGGGTTGAATTGCTCATCTCGGTGGCTTCTTCTTGGTCCAGAAGCGCTATCGCATCTCCTGCTCACCTCCTGTTCTCTGGGAGGCCCAAAGATAGACGCTATCACATAGCAGAGCTTCACACCCACGGTCCCACAGGCCTTTGTTGGAGTGGCACGAGGGGGTCACTCGCAGTGTCCCCCCCAGGCTGCCTCCTGGGGGAAGACACCTACCAAAGGTGAATCCACCTGCAGGTTTCGGGACCCCATCGGCCAGGTGCAACAGGTGCTCACTGAACATCTCTCTCGCGTGCCTCCTGCTACCGAGATGGGTAATGTGATCACGGCCCCTATCGGAAAATCTCCAGACATGTAACGACA